ATTCTACTTCACATTTTTGTGAGGTAATAAACCGTTGGCATTCCATTCAGCAATTTTAATTATTTTTGCCATTGCTTATGTTGTTGACTAACGTGGATAACATATTTATTATAATTGAGTTCTGTAGCATAAGCTGATTGAAGATATTTTTAAATTCCAAAATAAATGTTGCTAGAGTATCAGATTCGAGATTTGAAGGTGAATCATTAGAAGCAGAATAATTGTTTTTTGCAATGTCTCAATAGGATGAGTTATGAATTGTTGGCTTCAAGGCCGGAAAAATGTTGTTTAGATTAATTTACTGCAGTTTTATTTCTTTGTTTTTTAACTTTTTGGAAGTAAGTGCAACCGCGATAATTTGCTGGATGAGCGCCGTCGCCAAAATAACAACATGCCGGAGCATTCGGATGTTTCATAAAAATGGACGTATCAACAGTAAATTACAAGAAAACGGCCCGCCGATCTTCAGCCAATGTTTGTTCCCTTAATTAAAGCAGATTCAGTTGATAAATGGTTCAAAAACTTTTTCCATCTAATTTAAAGTATATTTTTGCCCTCGGCCCTAAATTTTTCCTTCCTCCTTCTAAATCAAAATTTAATTTTTTAGTAATTTGGAGATTGGTATTAGGAAATTAAAAGAGATTGAAAGAGAAACTAAGTTTAGGTCAATCGCTTGTAATTATCTTTTATCTTTTATTAAAAAAAAACTCTAACGTTTGTTATTTCCCCTTACATTTGGAAGTTGTAACAGATCTTAAATTATGTAAAAAGTTTTTGAATGATAACCGTGATATTTTAGTCATTAAAGCTGATAAGGGAAACTTTACAGTTGCGATTGGCAGGTCTGATTATTTTTCAAAAACTTATGATTTATTAGATGACGGTATTTTTTATAAACCTCTAGTTAATGATCTCACTGATCACTTGAATAGAAAAACACACAAACTTATCAGTACTTTAATTTCTAACAAACAAATCTCCAAATCTTTAGGTTTTTGTCTTAAAGTTCTCCATCCTAGCTCCTCAAAACTTTACTGTCTTTTTAAGGTTCACAAACCAAATTTACTTTATAGACCTATCGTTTCTGACATAAATTCTCCTTTAGGCAAACTCTCAAAATATATGAGCTCTATGCTTTCTTCCAAATTTAATATTTCGAATTCTTTTAATTTAGCTAAAATTTTTAACAATTCTGAAATCCCTGCCAACTTTTCTTTTGCCACTTTTGGCGTCATTTCCCTTTTTACCAATATTCCTTGGGATCTTGCTATAGAAGCAGTCACTGACCGTTGGAATGACATCCAACCACACACATCTATTGACTTGATTTGGTTTGAAACTATATTAAATTTCATTTTTGAAAATACTTATTTTTTTGACGATAATTTTTTTTTGTAGATTTTTGGTTTGCCCATGGGTTTTTTTATTAGCCTTCACGTGGCCGATTTAACATAACTACGGGAATTATAGTAATCGCAAAAAAATCGAAAATGAAATTTTTTATATATCTTTACGTTTCAAAACCTTCTGAACATTTTGGCATACCTGGCGGTCAAAAATCATCATTAGACATGTGCACATCAAATTATCAGATATTTTATAGAGATTTTAACAATTAGTATAAATTTTGTTTACATTCCTATGGGTTACGTATCAATGTTTATCCGCGGCTTATTTATGCGCTTCGATATTTCGTCTCTATGCAGTTAAAGCAGTACGATTGCTTTGAAAAAAAGTTCAGAATTTCCAAAATATTTCAAAACAAAGAAAACATTTTTTTTCGAAGTCTTTTTTTTCAAAAAAAAAGTAAATTTTTGTCAAAAATTTATAGTTTCTCAAAAATCTAATTTTTTCAAAGTAAATCTTTTCTAAAAAAAATAATTTTTGGTACGGAAAGTTCTAGCAATTTGCCTTAGGCACGATGCCATGCGCCCCACTAGTAGAAAACTTTATTTTGATTAATCTTCCCATTCAGCCTTACTAACTTCCCGTAGGGCAAGTAATAGCAATCGCAAGAAAAATCGAAAATAAACATTTTTATATATCTTTACGTTTCAAAGGTTTCTTAATATTTTGGCATAACGTAGAAAAAATGGATGTATGTATGTGTGTATGTGTGTGCATGTGTGTGTGCGGATACAAATTTTCGTCGACGATTTCGGGGACACCGATCATCCGATTTGAATAATTCAACTAGCTGTAAGTGGAATTCTGTCTTAAGGCAATTAAGGCATCGTGCCTTAAGGCAAATGGCTGGAACTTCCCGTACCATTATTAATTTTTTAAAAACGATTAACATTTTTGAAAAGGCAAATGGCTGGAACTTCCCGTACCATTATTAATTTTTCAAAAACGATTAACATTTTTGAAAAAAATGTACTTTGAAAAAATAAGATTTTTGAGAAACTATATATATGGACAAAAAATTACTTTTTTTGGAAAAAAAAAAATTTAAAAAGAAAAAAAAAATTTAATTTTTTTTTTGAAAAAAAAAATTTTTTTCTTTATTTTGACATATTGTGGAAGATCTGAACTTTTTTTTCAAAGCAATCGTACTGATTTAACTGCATAGGGACAAAATATAAAGCGCGTAAGCGCCGCGTCGCTGTCTAATGCATAAGCATTGGTACGGAACTCATAGGAATGTTAACAAAATGTATACTTATTGTTAAAATCTCTATAAAATATCTGATAATTTGATGTGCATATGTCTAATGATCATTTTTGACCGCCAAATCGCTCATTGTTTTACTTTTTCCTCCATATCTCCAAAACCGCTAGACCTACCTTTATGAAAATTTTATCGATTCTTCATCTTGTCAATACAAGTGAAATGTTTTTTGAATTATTTAAATCGGACGCTCCGTTCTCTTAAAAACTGAGTTACCGTTTTTGGCACTTTTTGCCCCGTATCTTTGGAACGGCTAGACCTGCCTTTGCCAAAAACTAATCAACACGTCTTCTTATCAATACGAATCGAATGTTTTTTGAATTATTCAAATCGGTTGATCCGTGTTCCCGAAATCGTCGACGAAAATTTGTATCCGCACATACATACACACACGTACATACATACACACACACATACACACACACACACACATACATTCATTTTTTCTAAGGTATGCCAAAATGTTCAGAAACCTTTGAAACGTAAAGATATATAAAAATTTTCATTTTCGATTTTTTTGCGATTACTATAACTTGCCCTACGGGAAGTTAAAAAACATTCGATTCGTATTGATAAGGAGACGTGCTGATTAGTTTTTGGCAAAGGCAGGTATAGGCGTTCCGAAGATACGGGGCAAAAAGTGCCAAAAACGGTAACTCAGTTTTTAAGAGAACGACGCTTCCGATTTTAATAATTCAAAAAACATTTTACTTGCATTGACAAGATAAGGAACTGATTAAATTTTTGGGAAGGCAGGTTCAGCGGTTGTTGACTCTTAATAAAAATAAGTGTAAAAATTGCTATTTGGCGGTCAAAAATGTTTATTAGACATATATACATCAAATTATCAGGTATTTTATAGAGATTTTAATAATGTGTACACATTTTGTGTAAATTTTTTTGGGTTCCGTACTAAGATTTTTAATTACGGTACGGGAAGTTCCAGCAATTTGTCTTAAGGCACGATGCCATGCGCCCCACTAGTTTCTGCTATAGATATGTTGATGACATTCTCTTAAGGATTATGTATCTCACACTTCAAATTCGAATAATAAGCATCTGCAGTTCACTTGTGAACTCAAAGTTAATACCTCTATTAGTTTCCTAGACTTAAAAATTATCAGAAACAATAATGTCATCCTCACTGACTGTGGCTCCAAAAGCCAACTTGGTCAGAACGATATTTAAATTATTTTTCCTATCACTCTCGATCTATCAAAATTTTAGTTATTATTTCTTTAATAGACAGGGCCATTTTGTTAAGTAATGAGACTTTTTGGGAAAAAAACCTAACTTTAATTCGTTCTGTTCTGAATAATAATTCTTATCCGCCATATTAAATCCGTCAGTTAAAATATCATTAAAAATAGATTATCGTTTTACATAAAAATTTAAACAGTTCTTCATACCTCAACAATCCTTTTTCAAAATCAAATTCTTTCTCTTTAGATAAATATAATGTTATTTGTTTAGCTTTCTTAAGCAATTTTTCTAATTTTTTAAAAAAAAGTTATTTGCCGCTGAAGATTTTCTTTTATTTCGACACTTTCAGCTGCTTTTTTTCTGCTCTTAAATCAAAAACTCCCGCTGATAGTCAATAGTTGTTACATTGCAATAGTTGTTACATTGGGGAAAGGTTCAAATATATACACAAGAGGGTTAATCAACATATATATATATATATATATATATATATATATATATATATATATATTTAGAAACCCAAGCCAATTCAAAACTATGCTATCAGAACATACGATTAACCTGAACCATATTTTCAACATGTCCAATTTTACCATCTTATATATTGAAAATAATTGTGTCCTTAGAAATATAGTTACTTATATCCCTTAATACTTCTTATGTCAACAAACGGAATTCCTATCACCTTTTACATGACAGTTACAAAGTCCTTCAGTCCAAAGTCAAAATTTAATGAAAAGTAATTCTTTACAGTGTTAGAATCTTTCGTTTGTTATATCTTTTCTCTGTTGCTCATTCCTCTTGTTTCTTAGACCCCGCATCCACTCACTTTACCTCACGTGCCGTTTAATCTTGAATTCAGTTATGTTACAATGCACAGCGAGCGAACAACACGCAATACTGGAGGGCTTTTTTAATATGTGCTTCTTTAATTTCTCTTTTTATCAGTTATTATTAGTTATGATGTTCTTTTGCATAAGTTTAGTGTTTAATAAATTTATATAATTTTTTTGTGTTATATATAGGATGTTACATTAGCTTACTCTACGAGTAATAAAAGGAATAAAATAAAATTCAATTAATAGTCAATTTAAATAATAAAATTAATATTTTATATATTTTGTAGGAAAAAATATGACAATTTTGCACATGCTTTAAGAATACGAGCTGTGAGTGCACTTAGTTAACTGTGAAGTCTAAAATTGAATATTAAACATAATTGAAAAACGACATAGAAAATGAGCGACTGTTTCTTGATTGCTGATCAATACTTTTCAAAGTAATTATATACTTTTTACTTACAATTAGTTATATATATATATATATATATATATATATATATATATATATCAATTTGTTACATTATTTTTTGTATTTCATAACTTTTTATTATCATATATTTTCACATAAATTTGAATCTTAATTTTATCTTTGATGTGCAAGATGTTAATTGCTATTTATTGATCATTACTTAAAGAAATATACTTATTTAAAATACGATTGTATGTTTTTCACGTGTATTTGTGCATGCATTTTTCTTTTTGTGGGAGCTAGTTTCTGCATGCTTACCTGTTCCTGGCTTAGTAATCAAAATGGTGAAATTTTTAATATATTTTTTATTTATTATTAGACATTAAGCATTAATAATACATTTCTGACATTTCTGAATTAGGTCAGATTCGATGTCACTTCATTCCACATCGGCAAAATTGATTGTGGAAAATCCTTTATGGGAGCAAAATACGTTCGTTGGTCGGTTCCGTCACTTCTTATGGATGACCGATTGGCGATCCTGTTTTGCTTCAGAACGTGATCTCGATAAAGCAGAAGAGTTGATAAAAAAATGCAAGTAAGTTTTTCGATATCAAAATATTGAGGTTACACATATGAAGAAAAATATGCAATCTTATAAGACTTGGATAATAAGAAAACGATTGCTTTTAAGAATTTTTTTTTATTTATTTAAAAAAATATTTTTTTTAATGATTGAAAAATAATTCAGATTTTAATTCTAATACTAGCTAAAGTTGTAAACATCATAGATAATTCATTATATACTTCAAATAAATAATTTTAACGTTCAGTTTATATATAATGTTACAAAAGTCTTCGGGGCTGCAAACCCCTGCCACGTGGCTTCAATCAATATATCTGAAAACAGACAGGCATACATCTATATATACTAGCTGACCCGGCAAACGTTGTTTTGCTAAATAAGTAAGGTATATTTCAAACAATTTCTAAAGAATCAAAAATATTAATACTTTAAGTGTATAAGGATGTGCTGTTTGAATGCTATATACAATCTGGCATTATAAAAACAATAAACCCCATTGGTTTGTCTATATTTTGAAAATTACAATTTAACTGGAAGATTTATACACTTTCTATAGAAAACATAGTATAATCCATCCAAGTCTTTTTTTGGTCTTTCTACTTATTGATTACGTTTCAAGTTTTCTCAGATTTTTTTTTGGATTCTGGATTTTGTGTATAATTGTAAATAATACTACTGAACTTTTCTACAAAATTTTCAAATTTTTGCGAGGACAGATAGAAAATGAATTAAGTATTTTTTCTTTGACCTGCTTTTTGAAAAGTTTCAAGTAACATTTGATGAATTAAAGTAAATTTAATAAAAAACATGTATGTAGAATAGGGCGAGGCCCAAAGGTCCAATTTGACTTCGAGCAAATGTAAACTATATTGTGAAAACCATAACAATTATATCACAACAAATAACACATATCAAACGAACAATTATCTGACTACGTTCAGTAAACTGCCTCTTACTTCATCATTGTAGAAATATGTGCTTTTTTGATGCCTTTCAAAAATTTGTTATTTATACCTTTTTACCCTATAGGCGGGGTAACTTGAAACGGGCAGGTGGCAAAAAGGTTTAAAGCCTTATTATAATTTTAAAGGTATTTTACAAAACAATTACATTTTTAACTAATGCTAAAAAGCTACCAACGGAAGAATATACTCTTTTATGGATTTTTAAATATTACCGTTCATCTCCCCCATTTCAAAGATTACCGTTTTCAAATCAAGGTTACAGCTGGTTATACATCTTTTCTTCTACTTTCAAATATTGTTGTTAAACAATGCTTAACTTTACTGATTTTTGACACATCGGTGGTGGACCTTTTTAACCCCGGACCTTCATATATTTACTATCTATTCTCCAATAAATTTTGGGAAATTATAACTGAAAAAATGTTATTCGACAAAATGACCAGTTGATCGATACTAAATTTAGGGTTCTGAATTTAAAAAACATAAATAAGAAATAATATAACCTAGAAAATGTTTTATAAATACCAATGACTATATAATTATACAAATGAGATCTTTCAGAGCCCCGTGTTTAAGAAAATAATGCCTAAAAATGCATTTTCATATTAACATTTCAAAAAAGTTGATATTTTGAGTCTCTAGTAAAACTTGCGGCCCGTTTACTAACATTTTTGTATATAAATAAAACTGCAAACAAAACTACTTACTACAATTTAATCATAATTAAATAATATTCACGTGAAACATCCTATTAAACGTAATTGAACATCATCTGTCAAAAACGTTTGAAATTTCACGTATTAACCACCGTCCATTGATTTATTTAAATTACGCTTTTACGAAAATTTTCAAATTAAAAAATGTAAAATTTCTACGCGATTTTAAAATAATATCTCACCTTGCCGACCATCTCTGGATTGGCACGAATTTTTCAAGACTAAGACTGACCAAATCGGTTTAGCCGTTTTCGAGTTTTACCGAATCATTTGATCAAGAGCTCCATTTTTTATATAAGATATATATATATATATATATAT